TCTTAGAGAAAGCTGCCCTCGAGTTCCGACCGAAACCAGACAGTCCTGCTTCTCCTGTTTGAGTCTGTGCCCCTAAAGACTCGCCCGGATCTGGAGCTCAGAGTCTGCGACTCCCTCCTGATTGAAAACGCCAACCGCGCCCTCCGCCGCCGCCCGCTCCGCGCACTCCGCACCTCAGAATTTGACTTCAGCACTGCGCCTCCTCTGAGTGTCCGTATGCGTTACTCTTTCCTCCTAGTTGTAGGACTTCCACTAAGCCAGCGTTCCTGTGGGTCTGGGTGATGTCCCTTCCGTCTTTTAGTTTCACTTTTGAAGTGGTTGTTCGAGGCAGCAAATTCCGGCGTTAACCTATGCCGCCATCTTGGTTCTCCCCAATACACATCTTGATTAACAAGGTTGGAGAATGGTCCAGGGCAAGAAGCATATTTAACCTTTCAGATTTCTCTCAGTATCTGTAGTGTTGGGCACAGAGTAGATGTCTTAATTGTCCCTATCAGAATACAGAGCTTTTGAAAAATATCAGCTTCATACTTTTTAAAGTTGAATGGTTAGGAACCTCTATTAAAAGGAACTCATAAAAAATTTCTCTCATCTCTAGCAAGTATCACAATCAGACAGTTTATGACAGGGGTGGGCAAGCCCTGGCATGCGTGCCCAAAATGGCACGCCAGTAACTTTTGCTGGCACGCGAAACCCTCTCTTATAATCTTACATTTACAATTTTTTTCTTAATATCGACTTTTTTATTTTTCAGATAAATTCAGTGTAGGTGCATCTTAGATAAATAATTTTACATAACAAGTTATCGTAAAGACCTTCATTTAAGTTATAGCCGGGCTGGTGTGTCTCAGTGGTTGAGCGTTTACCCATGCGCCAAGAGGTCTCCAGTTGAATTCCCAATCAAGGCACATGCCCGAGTTGCTGGCTCATTCCCCGGTACAGGGTGTGCAGGAGGCAGCCGATCCACGTTTCTCTCTTATTAATGTTTCAATCTCTCCCTTTCCCTCTCTCTAAAATCAATCAAGACATATTTTTAAAAATATTATAAACAAACAAACAAAACAACCAATCAACACCTCTGGTTTCTCTAGCAATGTAAACTAATGATGAGTAAAATTCTTTTGGAGTTTTTAAAATTTTTATTAAGGTGGTAATCTGCCATCTTTCACTATTAAAACATTGAAAATATAATTTTGGAGAATCACATATCAGGTTTATATCTTAACCAAGTTCACCCTACCAAAATTTGTAGTAGACTATTTGTGTTTAGGAAATTTATCCCATATTCACTCTCATATTTTGAGGGGGACAAGTGCTGGGGGAAAATGAGGATACTGAAAAGAGAAGGGAATTAAAACTTATTTTCTGGAAAGGATCTGATACATAATTGATAAATTTTGTGTGAACTGGTTAGTATGTTACCTTTTCCAGGGTTCTTTCCATTGTAACCTTAATTTTTATATACTTTTTAATATATTTTTATTTATTTCAGAGGGGAAGGGGGAGGGAGAGAGAGCTAGAAACATCAATGATGAAGGAGAATCATTGATCGGCTGCCTCCTGCACACCACCCCCTGGTGACCGAGCCCGCAACCCAGGCA